AACGCCAGCAGATGCAGGAGGTTGGGCGGTTCCACTTGGGAGACTTTGTAAATGTTTTCCGTCACGGGACACTGGTGATGCAGGGAGTGCCAGAGGCTACAACAGTAACGCAAGGCTGTGTTCTTTATGGAACTGTGCATGGAGCTCTTGGTGAGTGTGAACTTAAGTTTTATGTCTATATACATGCTGGAATATTGTCTTATTATCTAATGTACATGATGTAATTTTTCTTTTCTCTTTTAGTCTTACCATAATTTGAGAACTAATAAATCAGAAAATGTAAAGCTAATAATATTAATGAAAATAAGAAAGCCTTTTTCTAATAGAATTGTTGTAGTGTATTAGAAACATGTTCACTAAAGTTATGGATTATTTACCACACAGGTTTGGTGACAAGTCTGAATTTAGAACTATACAACCAGCTACTGGAGATGCAAAAGCGCCTAGCAAGAGTTATTAAATCAGTTGGAAAGATTGACCATGATTTTTACAGAAGTTTTAGGTATGTAAAAGATATATGATATTCAGTAAATTGTTTTTTCATATACTGGTATACTCATAAGTATATTGTTGATTTTGCGGTATATTTGTTAAATAGCTATACATTCTGATCACGTGAGAAGGCGTCCATTTTATGGGCATTTAACAAAGCATATTTTGTCAATATGTTCTATCATACCAAAAATAAAAATGAGAGAACTCAATTTACTTTTTTTGTCTTCAGTATGTTACGAGTGTCCTCAAATATGTGGACTTTCTTTTCAGTACCGAACGTAAGACGGACAGATGTGAAGGCTTCATAGATGGAGATCTTATAGAAAGTTTCCTAGACCTTAGCCCTGACAAGATGAAGGAAGTAGCACAAGGACTCTTGGTAAGCTAATCACAGTTCATTTCTTTGCTGTATTCTTGAGTGACACCATTTTGTGGCGATAGACATAGTGAATGGTGTCTAGACATGAGTATTATTATTATTATTATTATTATTATTTATTTATTTATTTTTTTATTTATTTATTTTCTTTTTTACTGGAAGGAAGATCTGAAAAAGGGTTGTATATTTTAGATATTCTTTCTTTATTTTATTTATTTAGAGAAATTATTTATTCATTTATTTTTTTGTGAGAGTGAATGTGAGCATGAGTGTAAGAGCATGAGTGTGAAGGGAGTGTTTCCTCATAATTTTGATAGCAAGTAGTAATTAATTCCTTTTCCCTTGAGATAAGAGAGAACTGGTTATCTGAAAAAACACAAGCTGTTTAGTCCTCCAGCATTAGGCACAAGTACTATCCAATGTGGTTTTGTTTTTTATATTTTTGTTTTATCACATTGATGGTTTCACAAGTACTTAGGTACAAAGGAATCAGCTAGTAGGCCTACCTATTAGACCCTGACTTAGGTATTGAGGAGATACAATACTTCAAAATAAGAGTAACTTTAAGCTTCATTTTCTTAGAAAAGATACACCTTTATGTTGCTGCCAAGAATGCAATCAGTTTTTACTTGAATGGCTGACATTCTCAGGCAATTCTGAGAATAAAGTTTGAGACTGTCCCAAAAGTGACTGAATTAGGAAAATTATCTCAAATTTTGATTTAGACATATTCTTCACCGGTTCATCTCCAATAGGGTGACACACAGAAATATCAAGAAATAAGTACATCAAATAAATACTTTTATATTACTCAAAAATATCAAGAAATTAATAGATAAAATAATACTTTTATATTACTCAAAAATATCAAGAAATTAATAGATAAAATAATACTTTTATATTACTCAAAAATATCAAGAAATTAATAGATAAAATAATACTTTTATATTACTCAAAAATATCAAGAAATTAATAGATAAAATAATACTTTTATATTACTCAAAAATATCAAGAAATTAATAGATAAAATAATACTTTTATATTACTCAAAAATATCAAGAAATTAATAGATAAAATAATACTTTTATATTACTCAAAAATATCAAGAAATTAATAGATAAAATAATACTTTTATATTACTCAAAAATATCAAGAAATAAGTACATCAAATAAATACTTTTATATTACTCAAAAATATCAAGAAATTAATAGATAAAATAATACTTTTATATTACTCAAAAATATCAAGAAATTAATAGATAAAATAATACTTTTATATTACTCAAAAATATCAAGAAATTAATAGATAAAATAATACTTTTAAATATCAAGAAATTAATAGATAAAATAATACTTTTATATTACTCAAATGTTATATACATGGTATATACTCTAATATATTATTGCGCATATTAACATGTTCATTATTGATAAGATAAGTATTATTATTGCTGTAATATTATAGAAATTAAGGATGATAATTTTATAAGGGATGTTTAGAAATATACTTTTGCTGATTTCTTGTATTAAAAGTGTTTTGCTCTGCCTTGAGTTATTTATGAAATGATAATGAATTAGAGTCCTTTGTGTTCTCTTAGATTTATTTCTTGAAAGAAAATGAATATATATGATTCAGCTAAACTCATATTAGCCCTTTAATTTTGGCTTATTCTCAGTAAAATAAAGAAATCTTCAAATGATGATGATGATGATAGTAACTAAGACTACACAAATGGATTTCATCATTATTTCACAAGTAACTCATAGCTTGAGTGGTATTAGATGATATAATGTAATAAAGTCTTTTAGGTTTTGCTTATGTGATTTTTTTTTTTTTTCCACAGATCAGTGATGGTTCAGGAATGAAAGTGGAGGCAACCCCTGAGGACTTAATTAAAACGGTAGAGGAACTTACCAGGATACACTAATACAGACCAGGAAATTTTTGGTAAAATGAACTTTAGAACATATTAAAGTGAAGAAGTGTTTTTAATTATCATTAACCCCTTTTTCCTTTCTAACAAAGGTATGCATATAAGTTTGATGGCTGTTCATTTGGAAAATCAGTGTTTGATTGTAATATATTACAAAGAATTGTTTGGTTATTTAAGTTTTGCTTGTTCCCATATATAAGACTAATAATGTTAAAGATTCTCAATATATTCACGTTGAATAACAGCAGATTATTATGATATCATATTTTAAACTTATAGCGAGCGAGTGTTGCAAATAGGACTTGTCTTAGCATAAAAACAACCAGTGAACCAAAATGCAGTGGTACTAGTAATAACTGACGGAGCGCAAAATGTGTATAGGAATAGATGAAGGTGAAGAACTTATACATAGCCTGTAGATTTACCACTTCTTGCTTGAATCAGGATGAGTTGGAATTTGCATGTGTATTTTGATATTATAAATACTGAGTATATGTGTACACAGACATTTGACTTCAGAAGGTTAGGAGAATGAAAGCATGGGGAACTCTCTTATTTTTATATATCTGCTATGGAATGTGTATATGGTATTTTCCCAAATTATTACCAATTATATTGTTTTTTTTAAATTCTTTTAATTATTAACACAAGAAGATGTCTGCCTCTTCATAAAGAGGAGTTTATCTTTGGGAATGTGGTGGCTAAAAGCAGGTTTATTGATAAGATAGAATAAGGAAAATGTAGTAAAACCGGTGAATAACATTTTAAGAATGTAGGTGCGTGACATGGTCTGTGAATAGTGGATTAGCATCTTCTTTTGTTGGTCACCCCAGAGACTTGAATTTTTGGAGTACATTTATGAACTCAGTATTTTAGCTGCATTAAGGTTCATATCTAGTTGTGCTAATGTAATAATTGTATTTCTTAATGCAGTAAGAACACTCATTCTCATGAATCATGAAGAGAATTAAACAATGAAGAATTCCAGACATTTGTTCCATAGGAAGGCTGTGAAACAAAAAACAAAATATAGAAAAATGAGAAAAGTAAAAGAAAATCATAAATACATATCTTCATTTCAGTCGTAAATTTTGATGCTTAACCAGTGCTGTGTTTTTGGTATTTGTGTTACAAAGTTTATGGGGACCTGAGTGTTTGAAACAGAATAGACAATTGCAGGGCTGTATCACCATCACAGTGTAATGTGGAAACAGCTGCTTACAAAGAGCGAGAAACGGAATATTGATTTTTTGTACACCAGAAAGTTACATATTAGTGAGAGATATCACTGTAAATCAGAAACTTATATTCACTTGCTCATGTAAATTGTCACTATCTTTCACCTGTAAACTTCATTTGATAATAAAATTATGAGAAAATTAAGATCTGTTTTTGAATTCTTAGTTGTTCATAACAAGAGTGTTTATGGAGGTACATTTAGACGTTCTGGTAAGTTGTAGCAAATATTGCTCATGTTGGTAGTCTGTGGAATTTGAAACTGATTGTAAGACATCCTAAAGTAATAGGGGCTAAGCAGAAAAAAACTAGATTTACAGTATTTGACATATGTTGGAATTGATTTTAGTACCAGTATCTTTGCTTTGAATTTACAGATATGATTACAGCACAGTAGAAGAAGGAAAAAAAAGGATGTAAAAGATTATTAAGATGATTTTCTTTCTTTTTTTTGATAAGCATTGATCACCTTTGTTGAGCTATACACATTCGCTTTTGGGAATGCCCAATATTAACAAACTACAGATTCTTTTTAGGTAAGTAAACATATTCAGAATGAATGGTAGACCAAATTTTTATGTTGGGTTCTCATTTCAAATTAGAAAAGTGATATGGATTTTGTTTGCTCTCAAGAACAGTTTCTTGTATGTACTCCCTGTCTACTGGATTTTCTGATATTCCTACAGACTTCCTGTCAGATTTCCACAAATGCAAATATCCTTATGATCATTGTTTGAAAGCTTTAGCCTCACTGCATATAAGGCATTAACCAATTGCAAATAATTTGCAATAAGAAAATATTATGACATAAATAATGAAATCTTAACATTGTATGCAAGTAATAAATCAAGTGTGGAAGACAGTCATTAAAAAGTCTGTATTAAGAATTCAAATATTATTGGTAAGGTTAATTTCAGCTTGTACAATCAGATGATTTTTTAATGTTCTTTAATAAG